CACAACATCAAATACTACATCTAATGACAATTTCCTGTTCAGTTCAGTATTATTCATAACTATTACTAAGGTTGTAGGACCCCAATGACAAGATTTGTGCTTTAGAAGTACTGTACACTAAACAACTTACAGTACTCTACTAACCTAACTACACAATGTACAACTAACAGAATAAAACCATATGAACAAACTCTTTCACCACTAGTTATAACACTTGTCACATCAAATGGTACAGTAGCCCCCCCGACAAACACCACACACACACACCGCATCCATAACAGCTGTCTCATCAACAAATGGATTAAGGGCCTCATTCGTATGGTACAGTCACCGAAGCGTCTCCTTGAAATGCGTCAGGTGAAACATTACCATATGGGTCCGTGCTACTGCTGACGTGACGCTAACTTACAGCCCCAGGGGTACGTCGTCTTCCTGTAGGTGGCGCCCTTCAATACCCACAGCTTGTAAGCTCACCCCGTCGAGTGGGGATGACGCAGTCCCTATCATCACAAAGACTTGATTCTTTTAAGTACGTCGCCGCATCCTGAGCCTTTCAATTCCAGGAAATATCTCATAAAATCTATTAACTGTAGCCTCTGAGTACAAGGGTATTACTCTCTTAGGATACTACACATTATCTCTCCACTCCTCACTGATGACTTTTAGACACCGTAACATGACAAATTGACACCAAAATACACCTTAAGACATAATCTAACCACGTGAATTAATTATACTACTAATGGGTTATGTAAATACGAACCTATATGCGGCTTTGATAGTGATAGTCACCAAGAAGCAACAAGAAAGAACCATAAATTGTGTTTTATAGGACCTTAATAGCCAACTAGCTGTGATTTAAAGCAACATAGATCAGAAAGTGATCTCGTCTCCCCTTGGTGATGTCAGAGGCGGGTCACGTCAGCTCAAGCTCACTACTCAGTCTTTATCGGAGGTGATCTGGCGAGAGTCTGTAGCGGCTCGTGAGTCTTAATGCTCGGGGCTCTAAAACTGATGAGAGAGAGAGAGAGAGAGAGAGAGAGAGAGAGAGCAGCGGAAGATAAACTATGAAAAGAAGAGAAAGAGAGAAGAAAGAAAAGGAGGGAAAGGTATATAAACAAGAGAGAGAGAGAGAGAATGCGGTTTCAAGCTGTATTCATCCACAAATCAACAGAACTACGTCAATATTACTCAAATCCAGATTGGTATTATCCTTATTCTATTGACCCTAAAAGTTTCTATGTTCATCGAGGAGTATTATTAATCACACACTCCAAAAAATATCTTTACGATTTATTATGTGAAACAATATGATACGACGGATGAAATATTTTGACAACCCTACCGAGACAACAGGAGTCACAGTGTTCATTTTGAAATTCATCGACCACCTCCGTAAAGATACTTTTTTGGGGGGGCGAGTATAATGACATCTTCTCTGAGACACATATACTGTATATAACTCACTGTACTGGTGCTGTAACAGTATGTAACCTGACACCTTACTTACGTGTATGTAACCTATTTAAAATTGTGTAACCTATTTCACCTATTTTTCGTCATAAGTCATCATAATTAGTACCTGAGTATAATTATCCTCATTAGTTGACAACAGTAAAAATTTAAGACAAAGTCCGTTGAACTATCATAAGATCCTACGCAACTAAACTCTTGTTGAAAATAACGAAAAAATGTTTTAGTTCGTCGTAGTGGGAGGAGCCACGGTAATGTGTCCAGCATATACAATTTCCGTTCTATTTCCTGGTAAAAAAAAATAATGTAGATTTACATTTCAGGAAAACAGAAAATGTGGAATTAAATTTTCCCTCTCTCTATGACCTTTAAATTCTGTAAATATCTGTCATTAATTACAGTAAATCATGTATAATTTATATTTAAATCATTACAGTAATTATATAGAAACGAAATTATGAGTAAAATTGAGTCATCTTTCTCATAACTCGTGTAATAATCTCGTTTAAAAACCTTAGCTGTTGAAGCCAAGTTACGTATTATAACATCAAAATAATTATATATACTTTCTTGTTAATATATCTATAATTCTTTCGAAAACTTGTATACTGTATATAATCTATATTCTGATTTAATTTATTTAGATCAATTAACTTATCTTTTGGGTTGGACAAATGCTCTAAAATTCACCTCCACTAAATTAGATACACTGGACACCATCTCATTAACCTGTCCTAAATACAATAATCATCTAATTGACCCTTTTTTTTATATACCTGTATATATACAACACAGTATTATTATTTTCTAAGTTGCATAATTAATTTTCATAAATAATCACCGTTAATTGATGTATTCTGCACAACCTCACCAACATACACCAAGTAAATAATAAATTGTCTTCGTGTTGCTGTAGTTAAGTTGTCCTCGTGTTGCTGTAGTTAAGTTGTCCTCGTGTTGCTGTAGTTAAGTTGTCCTCGTGTTGCTGGAGTTAAGTTGTCCTCGTGTTGCTGGAGTTAAGTTGTCCTCGTGTTGCTGTAGTTAAGCTGCCCTCGTGTTGCTGTAGTTTAGTGTATGAGTGAGTCTTCCAGAGGCTCTGTAAGTCTCACCCGCCCCAGAGCCTTCACTAACACTCGCGCCAGTTCCTATGCAACACACTGTTTCTAGGCACACTCTTTCATACACTGACTTCATGTTAGATAATAGAGACGACAAGAGATCACCAGACAATATGTAAGTGTGGAATACTACAAGAAATCGTAGAGCCTGGGATCATAACCGTAGGTGATAGTGAAAAAAAACACGACGATGATTAATGAAACAAGAAAAAAAATGGTGAAAGTTTGTGAGGTAGAGAGACCAACAAAATAATATAATCACTCTGATATTGTTCCCCGATAAAGTTGCAGAGTGTGGATGGTACTCGGGCGCGTCCAACTGGTTGCGCGGGAGAGCCTGACACGGATCTCTTTCCAGCTATCACAACCCGAGTGGCATCTCTAGTTACGGCCAGGGCTGGGTTACGTCATTCTATCACTCGTCTAGTGTTTCTGCCTCCCCTCTCTACACAACACGGCGCTCCACTCTACTCTAGCAACAAGGACTCCTACAAGATTTCTTTTAAGGGGGGGGGGGAGGAATTATGCCAAACCAAATCAAAAGTTTTTCTCCTATTTCTCAGTTTTTAATTTTTTTTTTCACACGATCAAAACATCAACAATAGCGGCAGACCTTCAGGTATCTGGTCATCTCACTCAGGAATAAGAGTCTGTTCACTGTCTTGGTACGGTCACTAAAACTCCCATGACTGTTGGATTATGTTGTTACTTGTGTGTACCAGTATACATACCCCGGGTCACTCATGTGTACCAGTATACATACCCCGGGTCACTCATGTGTACCAGTATACATACCCCGGGTCACTCATGTGTACCAGTATATATACCCCGGGTCTCTCATGTGTACCTGTATACATACCCCGGGTCACTCATGTGTACCAGTATACATACCCCAGGTCATTAGGTTTCTTCTACTAATATAAGTTGGTGGACATTTTAAGTTAAAGAATCTGTGAACGCAAATTAGTTTCGCTAATTAAAACAACTCAATAGGTCAGTGTGTATTACCATTGGTGCGTGACCTTGGTGGATCTGGCCATTTATTTAACCTGATTTATCGGTTTGTTTGTCAGGGTCAATGAGCGTCGAAAAATCAATTCAACTTTTATATTCCACAATGATGAACTTATTATGAATAAATACGGTATTTTTCCTGATAATCAAGGTTATATAAATTCAAGAACAACAGAAAAACAAAATAAATAATATCTCCTAAAGCTGTTGTGTTTGGCCATCAACAATTCGTATGTTAACAGTATAACAAAACACTCTCAAAGTTTGTAGTTATAAGCGACCTGAATTCTTGTCCATCTGTTGACGAGTAAAACCGAAACATTATAAATTTGTTTTAGGTTCTTTACCCGTCAAGGCTCAAGTCTTAATATCTCACCCAGACAGACACCAGATCTTTTTTTTTCGACAATTAATTATCAATTTAAAATGGTTAACTCACAAAGGGGCGTGGTTCACCTCTTCTTATTTTAAGTTTTAAAACCTAATCTTACTTTGAGTTTTGTTTTTGTTGATAAAGAAAAAACTTAGTTTACTTACATTACACAAAAATAAATGTACGTCTCATCTTTCATCAACTGTGTTAGTTTATACTGTACTGTACACACTCACTGTTGTCCCTCACCTCTTAATATATCAAAAAAGTTACAGTCAAGGAAATTTAATCGTTTCTCCTTGGTTGAATCGACTTACTGTTTATCATAGCTTCTCTGTATGACGATTATAATGAAGAAATATATCCGTCTACTGGTGTTATGAGAGACACCGTCACCACACGACAGCTGTGCCTCGAGGTCACTAACTAACTTTCTGCTACAACTTAACACAAACATCCTTCGCAAAGGCTCCTACTGAACCACTGATGACGAGAACACTTGAGTTATATCACCTTTATTTCCAATTTTTTTTTTTTGGAGCCACTTGAATGAAATTACATAAGTTGGTCTGTACTGTATATTTCCTTTATTGACTTCCACTAAAAAACACTAACGCTGTTTTTTTTTCTCATAACAGGATTGGTTACAGCACGCAAGAGATCTTCATATTAAGGTAAGAGTTCACCAATTAGTCACTGCGGGAGGGAGCATAATTTCAATATTTTGCAACATTAATAACGTACTAATATAACTTGCGTGCAACTTAATATCAAGGAGGCGCTCCACCAATCTTTACATGCACCAACGACACTTCTAAAAATACTGTAAATAAACTTAATTTAAATGATTCCGACTACAAATTATGGTATTAAAGTTCACACCTACATGAATCACTTTACATGTACTTCAACAATGAACACCATCGTGATAAAGGCAAATTTCAAGACGATAGTGAAGTCAGAAGAGTTAAATAGTGAGAACTAAATATGTTATGGAAATTGGTCAAACAGGTAGTACTCACTGTCACAACACCAAGTATTAGCCGCCGTATCAATCCATGCTAGGGGTTAGGTTAACTCGTCTACCAACAAAGCTACCTTGTCAACACGTAAATAAACCAATCAACACACATCACTGTCAGTAGCAACACGTAAGATTACCGTATTGTTGGACTATAGAACACCGCGAGCACTGTATTATAACACAATTGTTCACCACCGCTAGTAAGAGTTTCAAGATAGGTTCCGACGGCAATTTAGGGCAGTTACCCCCCCACCCAGGACTACCCATGGGAGCACAGGAGAGCGTCGTCCACGTTCTCCCTCCGCCAAGGCTAGGTGGAAACTGATCTTGGCGACCGCAGTCCGCCTGTCTGGCAATACCCAGCCCCCTGGTGACGAACCCACGGACTAACACACGCTCAGAATTAGAGGAGGTAGTAGTAATGATAACCGAGAGATGATTGGCTGTCTGGTAATCACTAGAAGTTACAGTAGGGAAGTTAACTGTACGTCTTCACTTCCGTCAGGAGATAGTGACGCCAACGAAGGATGGAAAATGAAACAATTAAGACGTTATTGTAATACGTCTACACACACACACACACACACTCGAGGAAACTGACTGGACTCAAGGAATTCGACAATTAACGAAGAATGAAAGACACACATAATAAAGTGAAGGGAAACGGAAGAGGAAACAGAGGAACAACAATTTACCGAAGAAAATTGATACCTCCAGTAGCGGTGTGTCTCCCTCCCTCCCTCTGACCTGCCCGACACACATACCTCCCTCCCCCCTCTCTCTCTCAATAACCCTACAACCCCCCTCCCTTACGCACTCTCCCTCTACTTTCCTCCCTTCAACTCCTATCTCCGTCCTTTACCTCCCTACATCTCCCATGCTCCCTTCCTACCTATTTACCTCCCTCACCTCTCCTTCTACCATCCTCCCTTGCATCACCCTTTTTCTTTCTCTCTTCTCCCTTTCCTCCCTTTCTTCTCCCCTTCCTTCCTCCCTACACCCCTTCCTGCCTTACCTCTCCTCCCTCTTCCTCTCTACCTACACCTCCTCCCTCTCTCTCTCCTTCCTTCCTTCCTCACTACATCTCTTCCTCTTCTTCCTCCCACCCTCCCACACTCCTCCCTCCCACCCTTCCTACACTACCCTCCCCCTCCCCTCTCCCTCTCTCTCCTCTCCCCCCCCTACGCATCTAGAAAACAAGATCGTCTTACACCACCAGACCTCAGGATACGAGACGACAGATCATGATAGACAGACAGACAGACAGACAGACAGACAGAAGTTGAAGCTGGAGGACAGACAGACGGACAGACAAAAGTAATGGTGGATGACAAATAGACAGACAGATAAGGGTGATACTTGATGACAGACAGACAGACAGACAGACCCCCCCAAAAGACATAGAAAAAAGTAATAATAAAAGGTAAAAGAAACAGAAAACAAACAATAAAACGAGAGCAACTAATAGAGGTCAAAGGACAGGTTTGATGAACAGACAGACAGACAGACAGACAGACAGAAATGATGCTGGATGCCAGACAGAGGAACAGGCATACAGACAAACAGAAAGACAGAGAGAAGTGATACTGGATGACAGACAGACAAACAGACAGACAGACAGACAGAGAGGGAGAAAGGTAAACAATGATGGGTGACTGGACGGACATAACAATTATTTTCTCAGCTTTTATATTTCTCTCACATCTTTCTCTTCCCTCTCACCTCCCTTTCACCTCTCACCTTACCTCTCACTTTCTCCTCTCAGTACTCCCACTCAATGTCTCTTTCTTAGCCTCCCCTCCCCCCCTCCCTCCCTCCCCTCCTCCTCCCCCTTAGTACTGCCTCTTTACCTCTATCTCCTCTCCCTCTGAGTACTCTCCCTCATCTCCCTCTCGAGTACTCCCCTTGCCCTTCTCCTCCCTAGTACCCTCCTCTTCACCCCCTTCACTCCCCTAGTACCCTCCTCATCTCCCCTCCCTACCCCTTTCCCTCCTTCTCCTCCCAATACTCTTCCTATACCTCCCCTCCCTTTCCCCTGACCCCTCTCTCTCTCTCTCTCTCTCTCTCTCTCTCTCTCTCTCTCTCTCTCTCTCTCTCTCTCTCTCTCTCTCTCTCTCTCTCTCTCTCTCACCCCTTGAGAGATCATATTGTATTGATCAATAGACCAGCCGCTGTAATCAAGAAACTCACTGCTATTATCACCTTTCACCTCCCTCCCCACTCGATACGTGAGTCTGAGGGATGGATGACGACCGTGAGGCGATAAAAACGGGGAAAGAGAGAGAGAGAGAGAGAGAGAGAAGAAAATGAGAAAGAGAGAGAGCAAATAAGGGATAGAGAGAAGAAAAGGATAGAGAGACAGGAGACAGATAATCACACTTATATACGAATCACGATCCTTTTGAGTACGATGCCACCTTGAGTACGATGAACTAAGCCATTAATTAAGATATCGTAACCCCCTGAGTACGATAAGTTAACCCCTAAGGGAATAAAATATTGTATTCAAAAGCTTAAGCAATTGTACTCGAGTGATTACATCCTCGTACTCGGGGGGTTAATTCATAGTACTCATTAAAATAGGTCGTCGATTTATGTGTTAAGACATCGTAGTCAGGGGTTTAAATCACTGTACTCAAAGATTTAAATCATTGTACTCAGGGGATAAATCATCGTACTCAGGAGATAAATCATCGTACTCAGGGGATAAATCATCGTACTCAGGGGCTAAATCATCGTACTCAGGGGCTAAATCATCGTACTCAGGGGATAAATCATCGTACTCGGGATAAATCATCGTACTCAGGAGATAAATCATCGACTCAGGGGATAAATCATCGTACACAAAGTCTTAAGTTATCGTACTCAATAACATTAAGTTATAGTACTCAAGCCATTAGTCAAACTCACAAACAATACCAGAGGTAGAATGTGATTCCTCCTCCTCCCTCTCAAGACACTGAAGAAAAGGTAAAAATTATGAATAACCTGACGAATATGCGTCTCAGTTTACTTCACCTGACGATTAAACACCGTAACGCTAACCTAACCGAACCTAAATTAACCTAACCTACCGAACCTAAATTAACCTAATCTAACCTAACCATATCTGACGTAACCTCCCATAACCTATCCTAATCTAACATTACATAACCTAACCTATAATCTAACCTAACGTAACATAATCTACCGCTAACCTAACCTAACCTACCTTAACCCCTTCAGATAACGTGAGGGTATTATAATCACCACGTGGTATAAGCCGGGGTGTCTAATCTGGAGGTGATATTAAGTCAGGAAGGCGGGCATCACAGAGCGTCCATGCATCCTAATTACTACCAAACAGACCATTGCGTCACGGTGTCCAGTTTCCCGGATGTGCCACAACAAAAGGACTCCTTTGTTCGCTAAAATTCACTCGTATGAAAATGACGAGACGTTCAGAAATCGAATACGTTCAGCGGAGAGACTTTTACGAGGAGGGGGGGAGGGGAGGGATGTTCAAAATGGTTTCGAAACGGTGTCATAGTACCTAACCTAACCTATCCTGTCCCTACCTAATCTAACCTTGCCTAACCTAACGAAACTATCCACGTACTGAAGCATAAGGATGGCAAATAATCTGTGAGGGAGGGGGGTTAATCCTCAGGTGATCCTCCCCCCCACCACCCCCCCGTAACTCGACACGTGAGAACACACCTAACTGAATCACTCAAATAACGACAGAAAAATAACATTCAATATGGCGTCAAATTACACTGAGACTCTACCGTAACAAATAAATGTCCTCCAATTACGGAGTTAAATTACACTGAGACTTACCTGAACTAGATGGTCGAATTACACTGAGTCTCTGTTGTAAATAGTGTATGTAATATGGTGCCGATTTACACTGAGACTCTACCTAACCTAACCTAACCTAACCTAACCTAACCTAACCTAACCTAACCTAACCTAACCTAACCTAACCTACACCCTACTCTCCCCTAGGTAGCGTAAGGGTATTCAGTCAACAGTTAAAATAAGCTGGAGAGCCAAACCTTCAGATACACAAGTTCAAGCATTCATAAACTTTTAACAATGGTCGCCCTTCATATTTCAAGATGGCCGGCTCTGAGAATTAGTCTGTCTAAAGTGTAGAAAACGAAGACAACAACAACAACAGCGCCCTGAGTGATGATATGAGAACAGGTAAAAAAAAAAAGGTAGATGGAAACATATGAAGATTAGCGCCCCAAGCATATTTCACCTGGTAGTTAAACACCTTTAAAGCTATCTGTTGGGGGGGAAGAGTTAGGTTAGATTAGGTTAGGTTAAATAAGGTTATAATTAGGTTTGGTTAGGTTACGTTATCCAATCATCGGGTGAAATAAGCTCGGGGGGGGACTAATCTTCATGTGATCCAGTGGTAAGACAGTGAGGCGTGAAGAGGTAAAACTCGCGCCGTGAACAAGACCAAGAGCTCATTCAGGCGGACACACACACACACACACACACACACACACACACACACACACACACACACACACACACACACACGTATCCTGGTCCAGCTTCACACGTGTTTGTTTATAGTCACTAGCACTTGAAAACTTCTTGTATAGAAACGAGGAAAAAAATAGAACATGAGACTGAGGACCCACACACACACACACACACACACACACACCCACACACACACACACACACACACACACACACACACACACACACACACACACACACGCACACGCTGATCGAAAGCACCAAATCATGTTAATGGTAAGGTTTCTGTATCCGCTAAGGTAATATACACTGACTCAAGCATCCTAATTTTAATTTCTGAGGTGTCTGGCCTTCAACTGTTTGTGTTTCGTGGAAGGTAACTAGTTAAGATCGCATCACTGTTACTATAATTAACAGGCTTCAACAACCAGGGATTTCAAACACATATTACGAGATTTAACATATTAATTAAAAGACCTAAATAATTAAGTATATTCCCACCTTTTAGATTAATAAGTTGGTGATGTTATGATATATTATTACGAGTAAACAAAAACTAACAACAACAACAACAACAACAACAACAATAACAATAATAACAATAATAATAATAACATTAATAACAATAACAATAATAATACATCTCTCTGGTTGTATAATGTAAATAAAACTTGTCATGGTGACTTGCTGTTTTATATATCGTCAATATACTCTTTCAGGAAATACAGTATAGCTTTGTTAGTTCATGATCCTGTGTTTACTATAAGTCAGTGCAAAAGATGTTGGTAGAGGTGTTTTGAAGTGAAGGGATGGATGAAGATGC